GGGATTATTTCGATTTACTCGTCGCACCATCCTCGAGGGTCTCGATGTTGCTTTTTGCTCTCGTTTTTTTTTTTAGAAATCTTTTAATCTTGCACTCTTCGAATTTTGTTTTTGTGTTCACTTTCACTCTCTCCCTGTCGCTCTGCCTTTCTCTCGTTCGCTCTCTCGTTCTCTCTCTCCCTTTCGCTCTCATCTCGGAAATAAATTGTGCATCGTCTGCAGGCGATGCCTCAACTTCTTAGGAATTCTTCTCCGCGGACTCCTCGCTGCTGTTCTCCTCGCTGGACTTGCTGGACTCCTCGGACTTGTTCTCTTCCTTCTTGGCGTCCTTAACCTCCTTCACTTCTTGGGGCTTTGGAAGCTCCTCGGCTTTGGGCTCCTCCACAGCCTTGGACTCCTTTTGCTCCTTCTCCTCGGGCAACTTAGCTTCAACGACCTGCTTGGGCTCTTCGGCTGGCTTCGACGGCTCTTCGAGTTTCGCCTCCTCCTTGGCGGGTTTGACGGATTCGACGATTTCCTTAGCTTCCTTCATGACTTCCTTGGCGACCTCGGATACGACCTGGGGCTCGGCTTGGGCTTGGACCTGGGGCTGGGGCTGACTCTGAGCTGTCTCGACGGTCTCTCTCTTGATTTGAGTCGACGCTGCGGGTTTGGACTCTTCTGCTGACTCTGCAGATTGCTTGGAAGCTTCCTCGGCCTTGGCAGGTTCCTGGACGATGGTAGCCTTGGGTTCATCGACCTTTACGGGTTCCTCGATCTTCTTAGCCGGTTCCTCAGCTGATTCGGCAGACTCGACAGACTTCTCGCTCTTCTCGGGAGCAGGCTTGGCTTCCTCGAGTTTCGTGCTCTCGATGGTCTCCTTCTTTTCCTGGGGCTCGACCTTCTGAGCGGTCACAGCCGCTGCAGCGGCAGCCTCTTCGGCTTCCCGGGTCACGCGGTCGGTCTTCTCCTCGGGTTTGACTTCCTCGGGCTTTTTCTCCTCTGACTGCACGATTTTCTTCTCTTCGCTGCTGGCAGCGGGTGCTGGGATCTCTGCCTCCTGGGGCAGGGCCACAGCTGGGGCTACAGGCGCTACAGGCGCTACAGGCGCTGCAGGTGCGGATTCCGCAGGTTCAGCCAACTTCTCCTTCTTCTCTTCCGGGATCTCGCTCTTCTCGGCAGGCTTGGCTTCGGCGACCTTTTCGGCGGCAGGAGTGGCAGCGGCAGTGGCAGCGGGAAGGGGAGCCTCCTCCTAAAAAAAATTGCGGGATTAAGATCGTCATTAATAATTTTTAAAAAATTACAAAAATCATAAGTTTTCGACAAAACTCATCTGTCATTACCTTCTTCTCGTAAGGAGCGTCGGCCAAGGTCGCGCTGGCGAGGGCCGCCTGTACAGCAGCCTGTGGCTCCGAAGCGGCAGTCTTAAGTTCCTCCTTCTCAGGTTCCTGAGCCTTCTCTTCGCTGCTCTCCTGGCTGGCAGCCTCGGGGATGACCTCAGCAGGCTTGCTCTCCTCCTTGATCTTCTCTTCAGCAGCCTGGGGTAAGTCAGCAGGCTTGGCCGGTTCCGCAATCGCAGCCGGAGTCTCCGGAAGTGGGTCGCTCAGCGGGCTGGAAGGCTCTGCCGGAGACTTTGGTACTTCCTCGAGCTTCTTACCGTCGTCCGCGACAACTTCAAGAGGCTTACTCTCTGCCAACGGTACAACCGGAAGTGCGTCATCGGCAGGTGCAGAGTCGCCCAGTGGCATCGCCCTGACACTCACCGCCACCAACAGGATCATCGCTACGGCGATTTTCATCGTGAAAGCGCACCTGCAACATCGAGATAAACCCCACCAATTCAATAAGGACCTCAAGGAAGATCGCATCCCGTCTCGTGTACCGATAGAGATTTCTTCATGAGGCAAATATCATCGGAGGTCATTGATGTCAATGGAATCTACTCGGCGTAATCTTCTAGTTAGTCACGGATGGAGCTCAGTGAACGAAGTCAAGGAGCACAAGGTAGGGAGGCTGGACTGGCTGACTGGCTGACTGGCTGACTGGCTGACGCTAGGCCTTTCGCACTCGGGCCCGGCCGGCTGAATCAATGGACGAACGGAACAAACGAACTGAATATAATAAAAGGAACGAGCCGAATGAAAGGATGATACGCGGACCACGCCACTTCGCGATCCTAATGGAACGGGGAATGGGGAACGGGTACTCTGGGCTGGGAGCTACTGAGTGACATTGAACCGAATGCATTGAATAAGGCGAGCGTTATAGGACTAATGACAGGATGCATCGCGCACCGCTCGTTACACTCTCTACCGTCTCTATGAGTTTACACGTATGCACGTCCCTAACACGTCTTTCGACCCATGTACACCATTGGTACACCACTCTGGCTCTGCCCACCATATCAGTCACGCTTCTCTATTCCTTCGACTTTTTCCCTTCTATTCAACAGCCTCGTGCAAATTCTCCCTGTCTCTGTCTCTCTATACGATTTTCTCCATTTTTTTTCCTCATTCTCGCCAGATGCCATTTTTACTGGTGCTTAGAAAGGTCGCCTCCATACTCCGCGCAGCGACTGGTACAGCAATTCAGGGCGAATGACCGTTCGAGGAACGTTAAGCCAATCGACGCGAAGGTGTCGCGCAATCCTGCTGATACGAGGATTCGACTGGTTTTTCATGACCGATTGAGGAATTGCGGGAATCGCAAAAATTACCAAGATTTAGCAATACTTTGGGCCAATGCAACCAGTGCTGGAGTAAGAAAGAGGACGGTCGAGGGTTCTGGCAAGTGAATATCAAAAGGAGACTTTGGTAGCAGCTACGGAGAAATTGGGGGAAGGTGGTTGGTGCGTCGAGCTGATGCCTGGTGCTGGGGGGGG